CCCACTGACCCAGGGCCAAGACCCAGCTTCGCGCTTCTGCCCCGGCACCTCCCTCGCCCTCACGTGGCTCCTGGCTCCCAAACCAAAGCAGAGCCCAGCACCACGCGGCTTTCTCTGGCCCAGAAGAGCCTCCGGATGCAGGAAACGCATAGTGCTTCAGCCGGAGCTCCCGGATCCCGCAGAGCTGGAAATGAGTTTGGGAAAAGATACAAAATAACTTTTCTGGATTCGGACAGTTACCCTCGCTCCAAACTGCTACCTGGCGCCTTCAAGGCCTGCCTTTCTCTTCCGCGGTTGGATGGAGATACTGTTTCCCATTCACGAAGATCAGGAATGGTCGATCACCTACTCAACAGGGCCCCTCCCAGGGAGATACTAGCCCTCCAGGCTGAGACAATTGTTGCTACAGAGCCGCCCACCCCTACGGAAACCACGCCAAACTCAGCACTCGTGGGCCGTGCCCTTTTTGAGCCTGGCCACCCCTAAACTGAAAGATGGTAGGAGATGGAGAAAGGGTGGGTCTGAATCGGCGACCTGCGTTCTGCTGGGGGCTAACCTGAGCCCCTAGGACGAGTGCACCGCCATAGGCGTAGGCGTGGAACAGCCCCACGGAGTGCTCCCTTGATTTCTCTTTTTAAATCAACAAGGCAAGAGCGAAGAGGCCAGGTGAAAGCGTGAAGACAGGGACACACTTGGCCTGGGACATTCACTGCAGGGCATTCGAGGGAATCAGGGAATCAATCGGCAGGGCGTGCAGCTCCCTGGCACCACCAAGGACAGATAATTTGGGAAAACAAAGGGTTGAACGAAAAGGAGGTTAAAAACATAAAACAAGCGAGAGTACAGTACCTGTGGAATTGGGGCCTCCCAACTCTCCCCCCCACACACACACACGTTCCTTTTCCCCCTCTGAGACTCAGCCGCTCCCGGACCAGCCAGCCCAGCCGGTCTCCAGGTTTGGCTCCCGTCCTCACCCCCGGGGCGCCTCGCTGGGTTCCAGCCATGGATGCCCCACGACGGGGCCGGATCACCCGGGGCCAGGTGGACGGTTCTCAGCCCTACACCCAGCATCCGACCTTGAACTTCTCTTTCGCTTCCAAACCAGAAAAGGGGAGAAGAGCCCGGCCTGTAGTTTTAGCAGGGGATGCAAATAAGCTTAGCAACCTCTCAAAGAAGGGCGTCCGTGTGGGAAGAAATTAACCTGTAAGAATTTGCCTGCGATTAGGGAAAGCGAGGCGGGAGAGGTCTGGCGGCCGGGCTGAGAAATACACACACTTGGGGATACATGTGCAAAGGTCATATTTGGTCCGATATTTGCTGCGCGCCTACAAAGCCATCTAGTACGTCCCTTCTTCTGCTGTTGGTGCCCAGAGAGCGACGCCCATCCTGAGACTGGGGCTTACCTGTCGCTCTCTTCCGAGGGAAACTCGTGTCTGCGTGAAAAAAGAAACACAGCGAAAAGTGCTAGTTACCGAAGAGCGGCTGAGCGCCCCGGGCGCGGGGCCTGACTGTCCCACTAGGGAAGGAGATCCTGCGCGGTTAGCTCAAGGTGCCAGGCTTGGGCACAGGAGGAGAGAGGGGGCCATCCCCGTGGATGAGCCCTGCCAGGGACAGGATCGCTGGGCTGACACATCCAACCAGCATATCCGTCCCCACTGAAAACGGAAAAAGACGCTGTCCCCACTTTTATTAAGAAATTTTAGGCAGAGAAGTCGGTCCTTCATCCCCCAGGTAAAAGGAACACAGCCGCCTTCATTCCGTGCCTCTACCCGGAGCCCGAGCCCCCTCCAGGGCTGAGCGGTTTGCTCAGCAACGCGGAGCCGGAGAGAAGCTTCCCGCCAACTCTGCGCCCCGGGCTCCGCAAGCTCGCGCATTCGAGAAGGGGAGGTTGGAAGCCCCCGCTGGGGAAATTGAGCCCGGTGCCGGCCAGGGAAACTGCAAAAAGGGGGCAGTGGATGGGGAGTGGGGATCCCAGACTTCGGTTTCCCAAGGACGCCCCTTGGGATCCGCTCACACCTTGGTGTCTCCGCCCTTGGCGGCAGACCTCGTGGCGCTTGCTCCAGAGCGGGTACCCACAGCACGTCGCACTGTGAAATGCCTTCAGCTGCCTGCTGGTGCGTGGACCTTCGCCTTGCCCTTTCTTGTCCCCACAAGATTGGGAACCCGTGTGCATTTAGCTCCTAATAGAATGCTCTGGCTCATCGACCTCGGTTTCCAGATCTGTAACCTGAGCGAGTTCCTGAGCTCTGAGATCTAGTGGACGTACCCCGGCCACGGATTGCAAGCACGCGTGAGCCATCGGGGCAACCCAGGACTGGGAAACCAAGGAAGACAAGCTCCACCGGCAACGGGGGAAACGTGGGCGCCGAACGCCCCTAAAGAAATCCAGGACCAACCATTTCCTAACCGAAGGCGCCCACGAACAGTTGGCCTCATCTTGGCCTGCCAGGCGGCTCCTGGCACCTGGGAAGGAGTGGCTTTCTCGGGGCCTCGGTCCTCCAGTCCTGAGCAGCGCAGAAATGTTAGGCATCGCCAGTGCCTTTCTTTCTTTCTTTCTTTTTCTTTTTTCTTTTTTTCCTTCCTCTCTATCTCTGTAGACACACATCCCAAGTTCCCCTAGGGATGTTCCCAGAGGTAGACCTGTACAAGAGGGAATATCTTGTAGGAATTCCCGCAGAGATAAATCAGCTCCAAAGCAGCCCTACTGAATGGAACACAACACCATCAAAATTTTCCCGCAGTTTTGCTGAGTTGACAGTTTCTGGGCTTTTGGCGCCCCCTCTAGACACAGACGAAAAATGCAGTCCATTTGGAAGACAATTTTAAAAAAAAATTACAAGAATGTAGAATTACAATTAAGACTGGGGAGTGCTTGCCTGGCAAGCGTGAGGGCCTGAGTTCAATCCCCGGTTCCACAAAAAAAAAAAAAAAAAAAAGTATACAGCACCGGACACTATTACCTAAACTACTGCTATATATTACCGTCCTTAAAACCGGGTAGAAGTGCATCTATGCATACTATTACATACCGACAAATATTTAGTGAAATATCCCCAAATATCTTAAAATGACAGTCGTGTCCACTGCCTTTATGCCACTAAATATGATCATTATAATTTAGAAATTAAATCTTGGGGAGCTGGTTAGAACATCAACCCAGTGGCCTTTGGGTCGCCTCCTTGATGAGGGGTCCTTGAACCACACACATTCGCACAGGAGTGGAACCTCTCCAGGGTGCAGAAATGCGTCCACACTACGCGGGACTACTTATTTTTCTCGAGAACGATGCACGCTGTCCTTACATGTCCTGAGCGGAGCCACAGAATACAAGACCATTGTTTGCCGGTCTCGTAAATTCGAAAACAAGCTATAGGGTGCTACAGACATCACAGGCCAGTGAGTTGCATTCTTTTTTTTAAATAATAATAATAATAATATCCTGTGGATCGATTCTGACTGCTTATCAACCATTTCTTTTCCTATAAGAAATGTCGACTTCGGAAGAAAAGGAGAGAAAAGTTTTTAAAAAGAAACACGTCAAATAAAGTATTTGCTTAAACCGTATCTGAATGATCGCACTGGGCAGATGAGGGGAAGAAAACCTGTCTTCGATACGATGTGGTTCGATTCACGGTTATCAATATCTTAACTCCGGGCGAATTTTTGGAAGAGCCAGAAGGCGGAGGGAAAGGGGGTGGGAGTTGAAAGTTAAAGAGTTTTTCCTCCGTTGTGCGTTTGCTCGTGGGTCTCAAGCCTTGTGACCGGCGGGCGAGTGAGAGTATTCTGTTCCAGCACAGATGACCCGCTCTTCCCCGGCCTGGCCTTGAGAGTGCCCGCACAGTACAAAGTTTGGGCTCAAAGCAAGCTTGAAATACTTCGGAGCTACTCCGGCCCCGCTCAGAAGGCCACCTGCGCGCGGTTCCGCGGGGACCAACTCACGTCCCACGGACCGGCGCTTCCCCACTCCCGGGACCCCGCGAAAACGGGCCCTACATACGGCTCTGCCAAAGAGGACTGTTTTGTCCTCGGGGTGCCCATTTATTTGGAGTTTTACAAACCAAGTGACCGCCCTCGGCCTCTCGGCCGGGCCGGGAGGGCCACTTCGCAAAGTTCCGTCTCGGCTAGAGCAGCTTTCGAGCTTTTTCCAGGGGCAACGCTGCTGGCGTTTCTGGATTCAGCCTGCAGGCAACGAGCGGAACGTGCGAGTGGCAGCCCTGTCACCGAGGGGCGGCGGCGGGGTGGGGGCCGGGGGCCCGGAGAAGGAATCCTCGGAGTTCAAGGTCGCGCCCGCCTTCGCGGGACTTAACTCTGGTTTCCATTGATTCCCGCAGCCCGAGCGCAAAGCACAATCCGACCAGCCGCACTAGCCCCGGCGAAGCAGGGTTTGTTATTCTATTTATATGGATTATTACGGAGGAACGGCGGGCGTTGAGTCACCCGAACCTCTGCTTCCAAAGATCATTGCTAAGCACTTTGGGAGGCGAGCAGGCTGCAGGCGCAGAAACTGGACTACGCACTTAGGAGCCGCTGCTTTTCCAATGCTAAAAACTCCGACAAAGTCCCGGGTGCCGCCAGGAGACCGGGGACAAGAAGTGTCGCGGTGGGGGTAGGCCCCGCTCTAAGCGCACACGCCCGCGCGCACATTCACACTCACACACGCGTGCGCGCGCAAGGATTCGCGCGGACACTGTCCCCAAAATCTGACATTCCGAGCGCACGGCCACTTACACCTTTGCACGTCCCGGGTCCCCCGCCTTCCCGCGGCGCTGCCCCCTCCCCTCCCCCTCCCACCATCCGCCGGGGGCTGCGGTTCCCTCCCCTCTCCTCCCCTCTGGTCTCGTCACCCAGCCCAGCGCCACAAGCCTCCTCCCTCCTCCAAAATTGCGTCCAATGAGCTGCTTGCCAGCCAGGGCTGCCGGGCTGTGATTGGCTGGACGTCTCTAAGGTGAGCTGGAGTATTTATTAAGGAGACCCGGAGCTGAGAGTCCGCGAGCCGAGAGCGGAGCTCGGAACTGACTGGGAACTTCGGTGGCGCTGCTACTAGGCCAGTTTCACCCCGGGAACTTTGTGCAAGAGGAGAAGAGAAGGGTGCAAGTGCCCCACTTTTGCTCTTCCTTCTCTCCTTCCTCGTCCTCCTCTCCAATTCGCCTTTCCCACCCGGAGCGGATCAGCCACCCGAGCCTCCAGCGGCCAGGTGACGCGCCAGCCTCCCCGGGAGCCGCTCGCTCCGCGTCCGCGTCGGGGCAGCCGAGGGGAGAGGGACCTGCACCCGAGTCCCCAGCCGCCGCGGCCTCTCGCCTTTCCCGGCCTCCCGCCCCCTGCCCCGGGCCCGCGTATGAATCTCCTGGACCCCTTCATGAAGATGACCGACGAGCAGGAGAAGGGCCTGTCCGGCGCCCCCAGCCCCACCATGTCCGAGGACTCGGCCGGCTCGCCCTGCCCGTCGGGCTCCGGCTCGGACACGGAGAACACGCGGCCCCAGGAGAACACGTTCCCCAAGGGCGAACCCGACCTGAAGAAGGAGAGCGAGGAGGACAAGTTCCCCGTGTGCATCCGCGAGGCGGTCAGCCAGGTGCTCAAGGGCTACGACTGGACTCTCGTGCCCATGCCGGTGCGCGTCAACGGCTCCAGCAAGAACAAGCCGCACGTCAAGCGGCCCATGAACGCCTTCATGGTGTGGGCGCAGGCGGCGCGCAGGAAGCTGGCGGACCAGTACCCGCACCTGCACAACGCCGAACTCAGCAAGACTCTGGGCAAGCTCTGGAGGTAGGGCGGCCTGGAGGGGCTCCGCTGTCCCCGCCCCCCAAGGGCTGGAGGTGCTGCGCGGCTAGAGTGGGGCGCGGGCGGGGGAGGGGCGAAGTGTGGCTTGGGCTCGGAGTTTGACACCGCTTGTGGGTTGGAGACCGGGAGGGGAGGGGGCGGCCGAGGTGGAGCAGGCTTGAGGGAGCCAGGGGCGGGGGAGGGCGGCCAGCTCGGTTACCTTCAGGTTTATAGGGGTGGGGGTACCCTCCATCTTCTGATGTGTGGTTCTTCTTCAAGGGATGTGGGGGTGCCGGAGGAGACCTCAGGCAGGAAAAGAGGGAGGCGCCGGGCATCTGTAGGGGGCGGGGGAGTTTCTGCCAGTTTAAGGGGGTTTTCGGTAAGATTTTAAAGGATGGGGGAGGGACAACTCCAGTAGCAGAGGCGTTTAGAGCAGCAGCGGCGGGGAGCTATTTTCATCTGCGAGGTTTCCAAAATAGAAGGGGAGGGGACGGGCGGGGAGTGGCCACTCAGGTCGGAATTCCCGAACTGAGAGTTTTCTTTGGGTTTACTTTCTTTCCTCTTTTCTAAGTAAAGCTCGGCGCCGCTGGCTCGGGGGTCTGGTGTGTGCAGAGCGAGATGCAGAGACCCCGACAGCCGGGCAATCTCGCTGACCAATCCCCCCACCCCACCCCCGTCTTCTGCGTCTCCTTCCCACCCCCAGACTTCTAAACGAGAGCGAGAAGCGGCCCTTCGTGGAGGAGGCCGAGCGGCTGCGCGTGCAGCACAAGAAAGACCACCCGGATTACAAGTACCAGCCGCGGCGGAGGAAGTCGGTGAAGAACGGGCAGGCGGAGGCCGAGGAGGCCGCGGAGCAGACGCACATCTCGCCCAACGCCATCTTCAAGGCGCTGCAGGCCGACTCCCCGCACTCCTCCTCGGGCATGAGTGAGGTGCACTCGCCTGGCGAGCACTCGGGTAAGTCCCTCACGGGCCCGGGGAAGGGGCACGGGGGCAGCGCCCAGAACCTGCGCCTAGGACTCTGCGCTCCCTGGGGAGGGCAGCTCTACCTTCGGCGCCTACTCCTGCTCAGCTCCCAGCCCAGGGGCCCAGCAGACACCCAAACACGCGCCTGCACACACACACACACACACACACACACACGCACACACACACACACACACACACACACACACACACGAGTGCGCTCATGCACACCAGCTCAACCCCAGCGTCCTAAGAGACCTTTTTATTTGATTGCCAGGCAAAATGCCTTCAGAGTTTTAAGGCCCCCTACACACACACACACACACACACACACACACACACACACTATTCTCCTCCTCCCCAAAAGCACACAGGGCACTTTGCTCCGTGTAGTCCTTAGGTCTTCCGGACCCCGGGGCCCTCAGACACCCCCCCCCCCCAGGAGGCTCTCGGTGTATCCTGGCGAGTTAATCATTCCCGGACTTATTACACCTGGGCCACAGGGAGGTCCCTAAGAGCAGAACCTTGTTGATTTTCCCGTGCTTATGTTTTATTACCCGCAGGACAATCCCAGGGCCCGCCGACCCCACCCACCACTCCTAAAACCGACGTGCAGCCTGGCAAAGGAGACCTGAAGCGAGAGGGGCGCCCCCTGCCCGAGGGCGGCAGACAGCCCCCCATCGACTTCCGTGACGTGGACATCGGCGAGCTGAGCAGCGACGTTATCTCCAACATCGAGACCTTCGACGTGAACGAGTTCGACCAGTACCTGCCGCCCAACGGTCACCCAGGGGTGCCGGCCACACACGGCCAGGTCAGCTACACGGGCAGCTATGGCATCAGCAGCACCGCGGCGACCCCGACTGCGGCGGGCGCAGGCCACGTGTGGGTGTCCAAGCAGCAGGCGCCGCCCCCGCCCCCGCAGCAGCCCCCACCGGCCCCGCCGGCCCCCGCGCAGCAGCAGCCCGCGCCCCCGCAGGCCCAGGCGGCGCCCCCGCAGGCCCCGCAGGCGCACACGCTGACCACGCTGAGCAGCGAGCCCGCGCAGTCGCAGCGGACGCACATCAAGACGGAGCAGCTGAGCCCCAGCCACTACAGCGAGCAGCAGCAGCACTCGCCGCAGCAGATCGCCTACAGCCCCTTCAGCCTCCCGCACTACAGCCCGTCCTACCCGCCCATCACGCGCTCGCAGTACGACTACGCCGCCGCCGAGCACCAGGGCACCGGCTCCTTCTACACCCACGCGGCGGGCCAGGGCTCTGGCCTCTACTCCACCTTCACCTACATGAACCCGGCCCAGCGCCCCATGTACACCCCCATCGCCGACACCTCGGGGGTCCCGTCCATCCCGCAGACCCACAGCCCGCAGCAGTGGGAGCAGCCGGTCTACACGCAGCTCACCAGACCCTGAGCAGACCTGGGCGCCCAGTCGCGCACGGCTCGGGAGAGGGGGCCGAGATGCTCAGAAAAGCAGCCGCAGAAAGATCCAGCATTTCTTTGGACATTTTGTTTGTTTGTTTTCTCCTGTTTCTTAAAGACAGGAAAAGTAAAGGCGACTGGAAGGTACTGAGGTTCCAAGACAGATACCTTGTCTAGCCAGACACAGGAGCAGAGCAGCGTGGCGCGTGTGAGTCGGCGGCCAGCACATGCCTGGCAAGAGGTGGGCCCGCAGCGCCCAGGACAGCCCGGACAGACTTCTTCTGTAGAGAATGGGCAGCTGCAGCCACTTTGCTTAACCTCCCTTCCTGTCTGGACTTTGTAATTATTTTTTAGCAGTAATTAAAGAAAAAAAAGTCCTCTGTGAGGAATATTCTCTATTTTAAATATTTTTAGTATGTACTGTGTATGATTCATTACCATTTGAGGGGATTTATACATATTTTTAGATTAAAAAAAACTAAATGCTCTTATTTTTTTCCAACAGCTAAACTACTCTTAGTTGAACAGTGTGCCCTAGCTTTTCTTGCAAACTTGCAGAGTATTTTTGTACAGATTTGCTTTCTCCTACAAAAAAAAAAAAAAAAAGAAAAAGAAAAAAAGTATGCAATTATATTAACATTGAAAGAAAATTGTTTATGATTTGTTTTGGGGGTGAGCCTCAGGCTTGCCTAGATTCAAGGAGGAGCTGCCTTAATGTGAGAAGAGCTAAAGCCTTATTTTGCAACTATGGGAGTGAACGAATAGTCTAGAGACACGTTTGGTAAGCTTTATCATATATGTATAGATATATATTTTAAACAAGAGAAAAAACACCTTGAGCCTTAAAAACACGCTGCTGGGAAAATACTTGCGCTCTTTGGCGTGTGAGTCCTTCCTCCTGCCTTTGCTTGTTCGCTGCAGTCTTAAGAAAGAAGCAAAAAGCAAGCAAAGGAGACTGGAATCTGCTTGGGGAGTGTTTCCGCAGCCAGCAAGTAAGTGCCCTGGAGCCCTGCCCCCTGGTTGCCTCCGGGCCCATGTGGTCCGCAGACGCTGGAGTCTGCGCTCTCGCTGTCACCTGTGCCTCACTGACCACCAGCAGTTGACCTTCAAGACGTTCCACGTGGTACAAAAAAAAAATATTTATTTTGTAAGGAGAGGTTTTCATTGAAAAAAAAATTTTCCTTTTTTTTTTTAATTTGCCTTCTTTAAAATAGGTTGTTGGAGCCTTCCTCAAAGGGCATGGTCGTCATCTTTTGTTAAATTATGTTCTTAACTGTAACCAGTTTTTTTTATTTATCTCTTTAATCTTTTTTATTATTAAAAGCAAGTTTCTTCGGATCCTTCGTCCTAGATTTGTACAAATTCTTTTTTGTCCGTCTTTTTTTTTTTCTTTTTTTTTTTGTTGTTGTTGTTGAAAACAAACTGGAAGCTTGTTTCTCTTGTTCTCTTTTTTGTACAAATGAGAGATTTGCAAATGTAGTATATCACTGAATCATTTGCAGTGTTTTCTGCCACAGACTCTTGGGCCTAAATTTCTGTGTGTGTGTGTGTGTGTGTGTGTGTGTGTGTGTGTGTGTGTGTTGTGACACAAGACAATGCAAGTAGGTGTCATAGATACTCCTCTGCATGTTCTTCTCAGAGGGTAAGGGCACACCAGGAGGGGAGCAGGCCCACTGACAGACCTTAATCCTTAATTACTGCTGTGGCTGGAGAGTTTAAGGATTGCTTTTTTAAAAAGACAGCAGACTTTTTTTTTTATTTAAAAGAAAAGATATATTAACAGTTTTAGAAGTTGGTAGAATAAAATCTTAAAGCACTCTTATAATATGGCATCTTTCAATTTCTGTATAAAAGCAGATCTTTTAAAAAAGTATTTCTGTAACTTAAGAAACCTGGCATTTAAAATCATATTTTCTTTTTAGGTAAGGTTTGGTTTGTGTTTGTGTTTTGTTTCTTTCACTTGTTTCCCCTCCAAACTTTGTGCTTTCTGTGAACTTAACTTTCTTTTCTTTTCTTTTCTTTTTTGTATATTATTGTTTACAATAAATATACATTGCATTAAAAAGGAAATGACCCTACGATTTATTTATGCAGTTCTATGGTGAGAAAGATTTGGGTACTTGGGGCACAAAAGAGGTGGTTTAAATGCTGTCTTCTGCGATGTTTTTATACGCATGTGCTCCTTAGGCCGGTCTTGAAACAGACCTTGAGGAAAAGAATGTGAATCCCCCAAAACTCTTAACACAACCATCGTGAAAAGTGCCACCGCAGTGGGTCAGCAGTCGGTCACGTGGAGAATGACATGCCCATAGGCGTCCACACTGGTGGCATGCTTCTGGTTTTAGCCGCCTCTTGCTTCAAGGCAAAAGCCGCCCCCTCCTAGAGGTCAGAGGGAAGAGGGAATACTGGGCCTGAGACCCGCAGCTTGTGAGGACACAGAGTGCCAAAGCAGGTGCCTCTTTTTCCTGAATGTCATATGGCAAACGTCGTGTTACTGTGAACACACCGCAAGGAAATGGGGTACCAGCTCCCAAGGCAAAGGGACCCAAAATGTGAGAGGCTCTACCTGGGGCCAGAGGAAAGTCAGGTCTCTGCCTAATTTCTCCACAAAGACAATGGAAGCAGGTTACCTTAGGCTTCTGTTGCCTCCAGTTTAACTCATTCTGAGCAAAGGCAAAAGCATCCCAGAACAAATGGCACCTAATCCTGTTTTCCTTGGCCCCGCTTCCATGGGGAGTTTCCAGGTTTGGTGAAATGTTCAGGTCATTTTTCATTCAACAGATGAAATCATTCCTTTCCTCCCACCTCCTCTAGCCTCTGCCGCAGGTGGATGGGGAAGTGTCCCTGAGAAGGTAAGCCACCTCTGCCTTCCACCTCAGCCGGGTGTATCGGCGGGGTCCTGGGTCCTGCCGGTGCCCCTGCCATTGCCTCACATCGTCTGCCTCTGCTTATTGGATTCCTGGCACGCATCCCACATGGGGATCCTGGCAACCAGGAAAATGCTCGTTACCAAATCGAGGCCACATTAGTAATCGGCCTCCTTTGCAAATTCCTGCAACAAACATTGATTGAGGGCCTGTGATCTGCAGGAGCCTGTACAAATCCCTACCCCTGCAGACAGCAGATTCTGTTCCTTGTTTGCCCCATGGCCAACCAGTCCCTCAGACCCACAGTTTATCCGCCATTCTTCTAAAATCTCTCCCCATCTTTCTCTCCGTTTCACTCTTGCCAACAGGCACAGAGTCCTTTCTAAGTCTTTGTGGCATTCCCTGATGCTTGTCCATCTTATTCGTCCTGATCTCCTGGCCTTATTAAAATCAGTATTCACTGTCTCAGCGGTGAACACTCCCTTCCACATAAAAGCTATCTTGCTTCCTAGACTGTTCTCTTTCCCTAGGTAGGAGACCCCGAGCAGGACTTCTGAGAGTCAGAATGTTCCACTCGGACATCGGTTTGTCAGGTGGCTAAAGCAGGTTGTTTTTCCCCCGTGCCTCAGTTTCCCCATTTGCTGAGAATGTTCACCATCCCTCCTGCTTGTAGCACAGTTGGTTAGTAACGTGATTTTTTTTTCATCTAGAAATAACCAGAAAATTAACTGCACCAGACTCTTTGGTCTGTATAGCAGCTATCTCAGAAAATTCAAATTTTGCAGAGTGACACCCAAGACAAAATATTCTTTTCCAAGTTCCCACCAACCACCCCCCCCAGGGTGGCTCTGACACACAGAAGAATGCGGGAGACCCCGGAGTACAGAGAAAGAATCCTCACCATCTCAGTTACCCTCATTCACCAGAACGAGTCAAAGCCCCATATCACCAGATTAAAAAATATTTCAGAGGAATTTTCATTCTAAATCCAGAAACTGAGAGCTTATCACCCTGGCAACAAGAACATGTTGATTGGAAACCTAGCAAAGAATCCTCCAGAACAGAAAATGCTTGTATTTAAACCCCAGGTTATTTGTTTATTTGTACTCACAACTTTCTTAGCTCTCTTAACAAAAGGGAGGGTTTAAAAAAAAAAAAGGAATAAAAACAAACTCATTTGAAACCAGTCTTTTGGTCGATTATGAAAATAGAGCCATGTGGGCCAGTGTGAGCTAGGTGCTTAAAATGCTCTCATTTTAACCCTGTTGCATCCTTTCCCATCCCCTGGTTGCCAAAATTCACCTTAGAGTCACCACAGTGGCCCTTTTTATATTAAATTCATCAACGAACCACCACCATAGCCAGAAATGGCCTCACTAAGAAGCAAATAGAGGCTGGCTTTCAACACTCCTTAAGCACAAGCCTAAGGTTCTATATTTAATCTTATTGTTTTAAAACTTATATTCTTTTTCTTAAAGAGCCCCCTTAAGATAAAATCTTTATATATATATATATATATATATATATATATATATATATATATATATGTAGAAGCTTAAGGCTCCACAAAAGCTGGGTCTGCCCATGACCATCGTTGTTGGGCGGTAAAACTATGGCAAGGGGGCCTACGAATGAGAAACTTTCCAATCTGTTCTCAACAGTGTCCTGCACGCAGTAGGTGCTTAATTAATACCTGCCTTGTACGGTATCCACGAGCCCACTGCCACTGCCCCAGAATCTACCAGTAAGACTTTCTACAATCACATTCTATCATGCATCTTTACGCAGTTTCTTATCACTCTGGGACTCAAATGATGTTATCTCGCGGGCAGAATTAGGGTGGGATTAGGGTTAAGGCACAGAGGAAGTGTTAGCAATCCCTCCTCACACAACTGCTTAAGCGCCACACTCTCCCTACTCATTTCCTCTTGTCCTTCGTATGCTGTCTCTCTTCTGCCTTTTCATGGGGTAGCCTCTGGTCTCCTGCAGCTAAAATGCTTGCTGGGCTCTAAAAGGGCTAATTCCTTCTCCATCCCTCACAGATTACAAGGTACTCTGGATTTCTGCGTGATAATCCTTTTCAGGCAAAATACAACATAGTCTCAAATTTGCATTCTTTTGAACCAAGACTGACTTTGGGATGATGTGTTTATCATTGATTGGGACACGATGACTAGGCACATTTCTTAAATTTTCAGGATTTTATATGGAACATAATCCAACTCCCATTATTCTACACTGCCATATTCCACCATAAGAGTATTTTTATTCCTCAATCTTTCTATAAACATTTGTTGATCTGCTTTATTGGATCAGGAAAAAAAAAAAAAAAAAAACAGCAAGCAAGAGAGAGTGTCTTCCTGGAGCTCACATTTCTGAATTTGCATTTTCTTATCTCGTGCTATTAAAAAAATGCACTGATAAGGTCTTGTGGGACGCCAAGCCCAGGAAAGAGAGCTGGTGACCAGTTTGGGTGAGAACTTACTAACCTCTTTCTTTTCCTTTCATGATTTTCATCTATTTGTCAGTGACATTGAATTAACCGTGATCCAGTAGACATGTATATCACTCCCTCCTGCCCCGGCGACAACCTTCTAGGAATCTTTCTACTCTTGGGGAACCATAAAGTTATATCTCTCATCTTCCTCATCTTGCCAAAGCCTCCGTACCTGGTACCCCACAGAGGCTCTGGATCTCCGCAGCCTGCACATGTATGGAGTCAGAGATCAGTAAGGTAGAAGGAGGAGCCTTTCTGGGTACGTACATCCTCACTGCAGAAATAACCTGGCGCAGCATCTCAGCTGTTGAACCATTTGCCATTTTTCCTGTAATGCTTGTGTTGATGAGGAGGTGACTTCTGCTGTCAAGGAGAGTTTTAACTGGAGGATAATCTCATTCCTGCATTTTCAGGCCAATCATCCAAAAAGGCCCACCTCTATACCAGTACGCTATGGATCTAATCTTGCTATTCAATTTTTTGTAGTATTTTCAAGTTTTGTTTAGCCTTTCTCCCACAAAGCTAAACAATTCCAAAGCCTTTATATTCCAAACTTTCTTTATAGCTTGTTACTCTTCTCCGAATATACTTTACTTACTAATAGTCTCAAACTTACACACCCAGAATTATTTCCAGGTCTCTGTGTGTGTTTTGAATAACATGAAATACAAACATGTTCACCATTATTTTAATCAGAAGTTGTGTTTCTTTTTAGGGAAATTAAAATTACACTAACCCTTGTCGCAGCCCAAATCACTAAACTGTGTTGAACAATTTCTCAGAGCCTGTAATTGAGTACTGATTTTTTGAACCCAATTAATAAGTTTTAAATTTACCCCTGTTTTAACTGCAGTGTGACATATCCAGGCTCAATGGAAAGAAAAAGTGGAAAAGTGGTTTACATCATTGAGCGCTTAGGCTGCCAGGCACTGTGACAGATGTTTTATACACACAATCTCACTTAATCCATTCGGTGACTCTTCTAGAATGGTGTCAGTGCAGTTTTGTGAAGACAGAAACTGAGGCTTAGAAATATTAAGCAATTACCAGGGGCCGGGGAGATAGCTCAGTGGCATAAGCACCTGCCTTATGCAAGGTCTTGATCCCTGGTACCAAAAAAAAGGGAGGGGGATTACCTTAAGGTTATATAACTAGCACATGCAACTTCTAAGGACTTTTCTCACCTTTCAGCTTTCAAAAGATAGTTTGAAATAAGAGTTCATGATGAGGAAAGGAGAATAAGGGTTATGTTGTAAATTACATTGCAAGAATTCTTAAAGCAAAATGTGGCCATAGGATGCTTCTTATTCAAAACCCCCTCACTTATTTACCTGGAATGATATGCAAAATCCTTACTAGATATTTTCAACTGCCTTACTTGAAGCCTTAGCAAACTATAGCCCAAATACCAAATCTGACCCTCTACTGTCCCTGCAAAGAAAGGTTTTGGGGAGCAAAGTTGCAGCCATATTGTCTCTATACATTTCTGCTATTGTGATCACATGGAAAGCAGATAGTAGCCTAAAAATCCTGAACATTTTCTAGCTGGCTCTACAAAAATAGTTTCATGACCCTCGTCCCTACACTCTGGCCTTTGCCTACTTCTGTGACTCAACTTCTACC